TGTGCTAGCACATGCCACATAGCTAAGCTTGTAGGTGATTCATCCTAGCAACTTGCACCATATCTTATCTCATTCTCAATCTACTCTCGGCAATTACTTAGGGCTTAAGCATGAATTAATTAGACTTGCTTTGGCACTTACTAACACATAAACTAGTAATGGACGGTGGCTGGTGGCGCGCACACGCACGGTAACGGGCGTTGATCTCGGAAACGCTATGGCCGACACACGCAAATGAGCACGACAATGCATAGTGCGCGCGCATGACTTAGGGCTTGATGAACTTTGACTTAATATTAAGCACCATGACTTAAACTGAATTCCCTTGATTTCGGTAGGAACTTAACTTCGAAAATTAATTCGAATATTCTTGATTTCAAATAATTAATCCCGACTACACATTTATAAAATAAACGTATCGGAACTAATTATCGGGACTAACTCGATTATTAAAAATAAATTAAACCGAATAGATTTTCGACTTAAAGTTGAACTTATTAGCTCGAAAGCTAAAATGAGCAACATTAGCAAAAAGGAAAATCAATTCAACTTCGAAACTAAATACATTGTTTTATTAATAACAAACTGGACTATTATACATGGGGGCGGATTAATGGGACATTTCGGTGTACATAAAACATTGGAAGTATTGCGTGATCATTTCTTTTGGCCTGGAATGCGTGTTGATGTGGAGAGAATATGTGAGAGGTGCATAACTTGCGAATGTTCTAAATCAAAATAGAAACCTCATGGTTTGTATCAACCTTTACCTATTCCTAATGAACCGTGGGTGGATATCTCTATGGACTTTGTTTTGGGTTTACCTAGAACTAGTAGAGGTAGAGATTGTATTTTTGTGGTTGTTGACAAATTTTCTAAAATGGCTCATTTCATTCCATGTCATAAAAGTGATGATGCTACGCATATTGCTGATTTGTTTTTTCGAGAAGATGTACGTTTGCATGGGGTTCCAAGAACCATTGTGAGTGATCGAGATGCAAAATTTTTTATTCATTTCTGGTGTGTGTTGTGGAGTAAATTGGGAACTAAACTTCTATTTTCTACGACGTGTCACCCCCAAACTGATGGGCAAACTGAAGTAGTAAATAGAACTTTATCTCAATTACTTAGAGCTTTGATTAAAAAGAACTTAAAAAGTTGGGAAGATTGTTTGCCATTTGCTGAATTTGCATGTAATAAGAGTGTTCATTCTGCTACTAATTTTACTCCTTTTGAAGTTGTTTACGGCTTTAATCCTTTAAGTCCACTTGATCTTGTGCCTATTCCCGTTGATGAGCAAGCGAACTTGGATGGAAAATCTAAGGCTGAAATTATCAAGAAGTTACATGAGAAGGTCAAGCTGAATATTGAGAAGCAAACCGAGCAATATGCAAAACAAGCCAATAAAGGGCGAAACCGAGTTACCTTCGAACCTGGAGATTGGGTTTGGCTGCATTTGAGAAAAGAGAGATTCCCAGCAAAGCGCAAGTCAAAGTTGCAAGCAAGGGGGGACGGGCCATTTCAAGTGATTGCACGGATCAACGATAATGCCTACAAACTTGAT